TGCGTGTGCTCCTGCTGGATGGCTCCTTCCCCTGAGACGTGTGTTCACTGACCCGCGAGTACACCTGCGTTCTTCACGTGTGTCTATATGTGTGTATATATATATATATATATGCGCGGTAGGACCCGGTTGGGCCTTGGCGGCTGGTTTGGGGTATCGTTTAGGGATCACTTGATTCGGATTGAAGGGCCTTGTTTGGGGGCCCCATGGGTCATTGCACCGTATAGCGTAGTATAGCGGGGGCGATTCCGGCGTAGTTGTGCCGCCTACCGGGCGGTTTTTACCGTTCAATTGTTTTTTGTACCGGCAGCTGTGTCTTGCGGGGCTTTCTGTTCATGCGCGGTGTGCTATATCTGACGTGAGCTATCGATCTTCATGAGTAGCAACAGAACGGGCGAGGCAGGAGAAACGATTGTCGTACCGGCAGCTGATGTCATAACGGTATTGAGGTATTAGATATGATTACGTATGTATACATGCATTTATGCATGCATGTATGTATGTATGTATGTGTATAACGATGCATGTAGTGATTACCCGCTGCACTTCTACATGGGAAGGCAGACATGACGCTGATGTGCGGCGTACCTCGATTAGAACGTGGTTGGAAAGCTTTTGCATTGCTCTGTCGCACCGTTCGTGAAAATTTAGCCGCCATGATTTTGTAGCGGTGTAACGTGTGATGAGTTACTTCCGGTAAAAAAAGAACATAATGGTTTCACGTCTTTGGCATCACAGCATTTTTTTACTTTTTCGCAGCCACACACACACACACACACACACACACACACACACACACACACACACACAGTCCACCGGCTGTTGTTGGCCGTTGTTCCCACGTTGTGCGGGCCGCTGGGTGGCGTACGGCGGCCTGCCCTAGCTCTTTATGGGGCCCACCGCAGCCTTGCTTCGTCCGGGTTGATCTGGACTGCTGGTAATGTGGTCCTCCTTCCGCCATTGTTGGTTGGTTGGTTGGTTGGTTGGTTTTCCATGCGACACGTTGGCGGACCGAATGGCTTCTTGGGGCGCTCCAAAGAAGCGGCACAGCTCGAGTGTTGCCAGGTTGCGTATGGGCCGGGGTGCTGCCTTAAGTGCTCGGCCGACTCCGTAACAGTGTGGGTCAGGAGCTCTGGACGTGTCTTGGTGTACGGCAAGGTGCTTCTGGTACGGGAGTTTCTCGCCATGTCGTGCCTTGTCTTTGTTCAGGCGCTGACAGTTTCCAGTGCGGCTTACACCACCTGACCCTTTCTGCTCAATTTGGACAGTGTCGGGGCGGCTGGACAGTCGAGTTTCTCGGGAACATAGTAAAATGCCGCCATTGTTTAGGTATGTTCCTTATGGTGCTGTGAAATGCGTGCAAAGCTTGTACGGCATAGGCAAGACGTAAAAGTTGTGTAACGGAGTGGCTTTGTAGTGGGAGCGATTGAATGATGTTCCTCGCGGAAGGACTGACCCGGGGGTCAGGACAAGCGATACCGTATGCCTGACTGATAATAGAGGCTAAAATAGAATATGTGCAACGTACGCATTGCTACTGTAGAGGAGGCTGCTTGAGGGAACTATTGCTGACGAGGCACAACGTCCGGAGAAACGGAAACGCGACGAGTATGGCAAATATAGAGTTCCCATAATCGCATTACTACTCTTTAGGAGCAGGAGTTATTTACGTATTCGATTACACTTTATCAAAGATAAAGAGACCGTTTCCTAGCAAATCTATTACCCGTCAACCTGCTATCGAAAGCCATCGCTATCCTTGACTATGGCCTCAGTCATCAGCTAGAGATTACTAATTTTTAGCGCATGCCAAACTCAGGTTAATAGTGCTTCACTACGCGGTCGCCATGCCCGCAATAACTGTCCTTCCACGACACCTGGATATGGAAGCGACATCTAGCAGCAAGTCGTCGGAAGGTATTGCTTGCTGCAGTATAACAATTCATGGGTCTAGTCGCTAAGGGCAGGAGGACTCTTGTAACCCTGACGTTGCAGGCAGGTCGTCATTCTTCGATAGCAGCGACGGGGCCGCGCTGCTACACTTAGTTCATGCTGGCGTCACTTGTGCCGCCGTCCTGGGCCTTAAGCTTTACCGCTGTTCACGGCAGCGTCCAACGCAAGCTCCCAGGCGGACCCCAGGTGTGCCCACATCTGCCAGCCCACCACCGGCGTGTCGCAGTTTTCGTCAACGCTTGAATCACAGCTCCATTCGCGGGGTCTTGCCAGTTTCCAACGAATCACTAAAGTGCAAATTTGCTTGGCATATCAGATTCGGCTCGTCTGCAGAACTCTCAGGAAGGGCCATACCATTTCCCGGGTCTGATTCCTTTCCCTTCTGTTCCACTTTTCTGTCCTGCTCAGCTAATCACCTGAATTCCGTTGTTCCTTCGTCCATTCTTGGGTGCGCGGATCGTGCGTCCTCTCCCCGGCCCCCTCCCCCGGGAGTTGAGCAGTTGAGGAGCAGTTGGAGGCCGCGAGGGCGGAGTTGGCTGCGAAGGAAGAGCAGCTGAGGCAACTCCGGGAACAGGTGTCTCAACAACGATTCTCCCAGGTCGGTGGTTTTTTTTCAGTTGCCTACAAGTATACCGTAGGCCTTTCTCCGATAATGGCGCTGCTGCTGCTGCTGCTGCTGCTCTTTGCAATTTGCCATGTGGTGGTAGTCATGGTGCTGTCATGGTGCTGCGTATCATCGATCGGTCACTTTCCCCCCGATGTTACCCTCCCCCCCATGTCCCTCCGCTTCTCAGGAGCAAAGCGAGGAGCTTTCCGAACTCCGAAGTCGGCTCAAGTCGGCGAAGGAGGAGCTACTGGCGGCGGGGTACCGCTGCCGGGAGGCTTCGGAGCGAATGGCGCGAACAGCGTAAGTTGCCGCGGATTGGGTTGCCGCTTCATAAAAGGGGGGCTGGATGTGTAGCGACAACGTTACACGTTCCGATGTCCAGCGCCATTCCGGTCAGGGTCTGAGTTCCGATCTGGGTCACAGCACTAAAGGTTTGCGTGTGCACGTTTGGAGCTGGAAGTCCGAACCTTTTGTGAGCCTTACGCACATGCGGACATCCGTTGCCGGTGCTTCCTTTACCTTACTTTGCTCCCAATCACCATCTCTATCACCACCACCATCCCCAACCCCATCACCATCACCACCACCATCCCCAACCCCATCACCATCACCATCACCAACTCCGTCTGCACCTCCTACAGGTGCGACTTGGCGGTCACCGAGACGGAGCTCCGGGCGCACAAGGCCCAGCTCCAGCAGGCCGCCACGCAGCTGCAGGAGATGCAGGTAGAGGAGAGCGATGTTTCACGTATTCTGCTTGTATATGTGTGTATATACGGGGATGGCGTCCCCTATAGGGGAACCAAAGGGTGTCAAAAAGGGAGCCGAAAGGTGTCGTACAGTACGGCACACGACACGGTGAAGTACCGGGGGGTGTCGGACTGGGGTCGAGGCTCGGCTGCGCTGGTGTGTGTGTGTGTGTGTGTGTGTATGTGTGTGTGTGTGAGTGTGGAGAGATTGGATGAGGATTCCGACGTTGGGCGAAAGTCTCTATCCGAGGGGCTCCTGCTCCCCAGGTAGTCCGCGACGCAGCCTGATCCGCTGAGCGCCCACCCCCTCACCCCCTCACCCCCTCACCCCCTCACCCCCTCACTCCCCTGTCAAGATGAGAAACCAAGTCGGGATCTCAAAACGAGAAGGGGGCCCCGGCCCAGATGGGGAATATCCCCGAGCGAATCGCTGTTGGGTGCCCCATGTGCTCCCGGCCACATTAGGACTTTGGACCCCCTAAGCCTGAGGCGATGCCGGCATGCACTGCTGCTGCTGTTGCTCTGACGCAGGCACGGTTGGAGGCGGCGGAGGGCGAATTGGGCCTTACGCGGAGTCAGAATCTGATGATGCAGAGGGAGGTGTCGCTGCTGCGGCGGCAACTTAGAGACGCCGGGACGCAGCTGGAGGGGCACCTGGCGCAGAGGGCGGCTCGGGAGCATGGATACGAGTACGACTAAGGAGTCTTTATATCACTATCACTATTATTATCAGGGCCTCAATTTGGCGCTCTTTTGGTCGCCCGCGGGTTAGGGTCCGCTGTGCTCTCGTATTTGTCCCTTTACACGACGCAAACACCTACCGTGTGCCGAAGGGCCTTGTTGCTGAAGGGACGTTTCTGTGAACTGCTGCTGCCGCTATATGCTGCTTAAGGTCCTGGCGATACTGCTGTTGCTGCTACTGCGGCTGCTACTGCGGCTGCTACTGTTGCTGCTACTGCGGCTGCTACTGCTGGCTCTGTGTACATACGTTGCGTTGGATGGTGGTGTCTTTTTTGGCATGTTGTGGCGCTTGAGGAACCGGCAAATGTGCAGGCGGCTTATCCTCTCTCCTCCTCTCTCTTTCTCCCTCTCTCTCGCTCGCTCGCTGTGAGGGGAAATGTATGTGTGTAAGGATTTGTTTGTCTTGATTGCCGCGTCTTGCCTGACTTGGGTGGCCACACCCGTGAATGGGCCCAGCATGCATTTCTTGGTGGTTAGGAACGTCAATTTGGGCCTTGTGGGGGTGTTGGCAGGTTTTGGGAGTCGCTGCTTTCTACCCCGTATTCATCGCCGCAGCTCTGCCGGGTGCGGCCCTTTTTGTTTTTTTTGCACGCAGTCATGTGTGCGGCTTGGCTGTTGAGGGGATCGAATGTGCAAGCCAGATAATCGTTAAATGGTACGAGACCACTTGTAACACACAAATATATATCGTCTCGTTAGCGTTCGTCCACCCAAAAAGAATGTACTGACGTACGGTTCGTCTTAATTAACGTGTTTGGCTGGTGAAAATAGTAATATATTAATGCAGCAGCAGCAGCAGCAGCCGTCTGCTGAGCTATCGCCGTAAGCCGCAAGAACGAGCCGGAAGGTTTTTCAAAAGGCTGGCTACGGGAGGAGGAGGCGGAAGGCTCCATTCCTGTGCAACGACCTAAACCTTACACAACACCGCGTGGGCCTCGCACTTGCTAAGTGGCACTAGGCTTTTACAAATCCGAGATTAAGAGCCGACAATTCAAATTAATTACAGTCGGAGCTGTCAGGAGAAGATGGGAAAGAAGCCCCTCACGGTGTGTGTATAAATAACATTTTTACGTCCCATATCAGAGTCTGATGTATATAAGTCAACGCGAGGAACGCTAAAACCAAATACCAGGTCTGCAAACCGCGATACGGGAGTCCATTTCCATTTTCAAATTTCAAATTCAAAAGGCCGCCTTGGGGGCCACTGCCGCTGCGCAGTACTCCGCCGACGCTCTCCCGTTGGCGTTCGCACAACACGGGGGCAAACCGCAGCAGACGCTGTTTCCACCCGCCCATGCTGCGCCCCAAGTAGGCCAAGGGAGAAAGCCGGAAAACCGTCACGCGCGAGACGCCGAAGGCTTTTCTTAAGGCCGCTGTCCCTCGGGGGACTCGCCGCTGCACGTACGCGTAACAAGAGTTGGGGTCGAAAATCACCAACCAAACTCAATTTCATGGTCTGGTTATTAATAAGGTTCACCATCCCGAACATCCGCAACGAACCCCCAACGTCTAGCTAGGCCAGATTGCACTAGCAGTAGTAGTAGGTGGTGGTGGTATTACAGTGAGAGAACCCCAGGCCCCCAGGGGGGTTACCCCCCCTCAGGGTAGCTAGGGGGCCCTTGCGAGCCACAACGGACTGCCGTACACTGCACTGCCATTGGTGCCATCGTCACGCACCAGGGTATCACGCACGCAGAAACCTTTTTGGTGCGGTTGGACCACGTGGCAATGACCTCTGCCGCTCCAACCCTACTACAGGTAACGGAAGCTTTGCTCTCACAATCGTCACGCCACGCCCCTTGCGGTCGTTGTCAGACTAGACCTGCAGGCTGCTTCACCTCTCTCTTCCCCCCCGGCTATACTGCACACAACGGCACGCGAATCACACAGTTGGATTTGACCATTTAATTTTGCCTGCCTGACGGAGCCCGGAAAGCACTTCAGGCCGATGGAATACTAGGACTTGCACAAGTTAGGCCTCTGAAGCCTCTGAGGGATCAGGGCTACACCAACCGTATCAAGCCCCCACACAAAACGTAAAAAAGCGATCCACTGAATTCGGAGAAGTCGTCGGCTTGGGGGTGACTGGATGCGGGTATGCCCCGATCTATGCCGGGGAAGGCAGGGTCTGCCGGGTAACGGCCGCCGGGTGAAGATATGACCCCCCTGTCCCACACATCATACATACATACAATCAGGGGACGTACACACACACACACACACAAGCCCCTCTGGTTACCCTACCCTGGGAGAGGGTGCTCTCTGTCACCGGTGGTATGGGTGGCCAGGGGGCCCCAAGGAATGTCGGCATGTCGGCATTCCTAACCCCGTGACACGTGACCCTGACGCCTGGTGGGTGGGTGGGTGGGTGCATGGCGCTGATCCGCATGGCAAGGAGCCGATGGCGGTCGGCGCTTGGCCCGCACGGCGCGGCATTGATGGAGGTGACCATGGGAGACTGTTTTTACTGCTGCTGCTGCTCGACTCGGACTGCCCTGCCTGATCTTCAGTGTACCTCCGGAAGGAGCTGCTCTCTGCCGATATTGGATATCACATATGTATATAACCTCTGCTTAGCGTCCACGTGACGACAAACAACCGACAAAGACCGTACGTACCGTAAATATGGCAGCTTGAAGCTTGTTCGGTAAACCCCCCGCCAGGTAGCCGTACGAAGACGCGGCGGTCTTTTAGGGTCAAAACGCGGTGCTGGGAGCACCAGCAGAGAGCGGGAGCACCCTTCCCCCTTTTCACAGCGCCAAAACCTTCCTTTCCGCCCCCCCAGCCCGCCTGCACCTGCACCTGCACGGGGGGGCGCACACCCCACCCGCACTACCCCTCTATATCCCTGCCGGGACGCAGCAACACCTCCCGTCTGAATCCCTAAACGACGGACTTTCGGAAGCGGCTCACAAGCGCCTTCCTCGTCACAACAGCTTGAGGGACATAAACAACCTCAGCCCCCCGGTTTGTCTGTCCGTTAGTCCGTCCGCCTGTGTTGCTGCATCTCTCTCGATTCGAGAGCCTCAAACACCTGTGGTGCAACCAGAGGCACATTATGCGTACGGTATACCCCAACAAGATGTCTTATAAAAGTATACATACATCAGCAATAACTAGTCATCTGAGTGCACCTTTCCCTTTCGCAGCCTCTTCCACAGCTTTCGCAACGCATGCGCGCACATGCCCGCCCGCCTGCTCTTTCTGCCCCAACTAAGAAAGCGCAACCCAAACCATTACCCTCATTAACATCTTATTTTTATCTACTCACTGCAGGGCCAGATGGAAGTGCGTATTTCCCCCCCCCCCACCACCACCACATCATCATCATCACTCGCCGCCTCATCTCGTTCCCAACCCACCTCTCCATCTAGCGTCACTGCAGCAAGAGGATCAGTAGTTCTTACATCCCGCACGCACGCGCCAAGAAAAACGACCGCATCATCGCCGCAGCGCCTCTTCGGCGCACAACACGCACACGCACGCAGACACACATACACACACACACACGTGCTCGCCGGCCCCTCCAGCAGTTACCCAACTTCACATCACGCCTCCCTCACCCCTCCCTCCCCGGCATCGACATTCGCGATTAAGTTCCCGATTGGTTCTTCCCCCTCCCATGGGGCCATTTCCCCATTTTTCTTTTTCTTTTTTCCCAACACCCCCACACTCATTATTACTATTATTCCCAGGGCTGCACCAACACCTCCGTCGCCTTGCCGGCCACGTCCTTCACGCCGTCTTTCTGGTACTCAATAATCGGCTGCCAGCAATTCGCGCATTTGGGCATACCGCTCATGTCCAGTACCACGTTGCAACACGGCGGCTGGGGGCGGTACACGTAGCGCGGCGCAGAGCGCGGCGGCGACGACTCCAGCGCGCCCTCAAAGCCCAGGGTCAGCATGTCGCGGGAGCGGCGCTTCAGGATTTCTGCGGGCTTGCGCGATGTGAATCCGTAGCGCTGCATGATGTCCGGCACGGGGTGGCGCGCCAGGGCCTTCATACACAGGCGCATCTGCGGGAAGTAGTCATGACCGATGCGACCCTCGGGCACGTAGCACCTGCAATACGATGTGCAGCAGGTGAGGTGGGTTCGTGCGATCAAGGGAATCAATCGGAATGACGTCAGATGACGGTAAGGGATGCAAATAATGGCGGGAGTAAAGTAAACAGCCCTTAAGCGGGGGCTGAGATTGGAGATCGCCGCCTGAGGAGGCGAACCCACGTTTAGGCGGAGCCGGGCACGACGGAATTATGCCCCCCCACCTGCCGGAGTGGGGCCAGTACTGGATCGCGCAGTACTAGTAGATGGTTGCGATGGTGGTGGTGGTGGTCGGGGAGGATAAGGGTTCATGACCAACACCAATATCCACTCGGGCGCCAGACACCAGTACAGAAGAACAAAATCCGCTCCGCTCCGCCACTCTGCCGCGCTATCTCCCATCCTCCGAAGTTTGCCCCCCGGGGTTCTTCTCCCCACCCACCCACC